TATTTTTCTATTCTGCCAATTATTTCTGATGAGCAAGACATAAATTCTGCATTCACAATTCTCATTTTTATCTTAAGTTATTTGGGAATACCCTATTGCAGTTCTATGTTCTCTCTTATGTCTCTCTTAGAAATCCACAGGGTCTTCTGACTCATCAGATGTTGATTTATTTTCCTTTGTTTTGGAACATTTATTAATAGATGTCTGGACTCATTTAGGTGATATAGACTCATAGATAGGCCATATTCTCTTCTCTTATTAATATTTTTCCTGCATGTGCTTAAGGTCTTTAATTAATTTCCTTCCTTCTGAGATTTGGTAATTTAAATCCTTTTTCCTCATATTCCATTATTGCTCACTTTCTGACTCCTCCTCCTTTGATGGTGGCTTCCCTGGGGGACCTTAAAGCTGTCTCAATTTTTTTTCATATTGGGCAATTCATATTTCACTGGCCTCCAAGTGACTTTTAGGGGGACAGAACTGGGCATGTCTGGAGGCCAGTCTCCCCCTTTCTCAGTCCTTGACATACATTCGTGACCTACCCCAGATCCCTCTTTTCCTCAATTTTCTGAATGAGCATTGACTGCTATGCCACCATCCCAGCCAAAGCATGTTTCTGGCTTTTGACTTTCCATGACACAGAGACATAAGGAACAGAGTTGAGTTTTGCTGCAAGCCTGTGGGTCAACTGGTGTTGCCTTGCCAGAGCATAGTGGTCAGTGAGGGAATGGGAGTTAAGTAAGCCTGTCAGGGATCAGGAATTAGCTTTTGTCTGTTCTTAGTTCATTGAATTGTTACCTCGCTCAGTTTCTTGGTGTCTTAGACTGTGGAGACAGCTGAAATTGCTTTATCTTTTGCATATAACTCCTATTTTGGAGAGTTTGGAGGGGCTTAAGAAGTAATGAAGATCAGGGAAAGTGTTTGCTCCTTCACCTCGTTAGTCTCATTACCCAGAAGCTGAGGTTAAACTCCATAAGAGAAGTTGCTTATACTCTTCTGTCTTGCACAGGACTAGACATATTATAGTGATGTATGGATTCTATGTGTCAAAATAAAATACAGTTATTGACTTATGCAACAAATTTTATAATTTTTTATATTTAATAAACTTTTAATATGAAATATTCTCATTTTGCTTTAATCGCTTGTTTTAATTGATTCTGAATTGAGTTCACTAAATATTGACATATATTCTTTACTTTTTCTTCATGAAACCATACATCATACTGGATGTTACATGTACTTTTTTTTTTGATGAAGTAATTGGAGTTAAGTGACTTTGCCCAGGGTCACACAGCTAGTAAGTGTCAAGCGTCTGAGGCCAAATTTGAACTCAGGTCCTCCTGACTCCAAGGCTGTAGCTCTATCTACCTAGCTGCCTCGTTACATGTACTTTTGATGAGCATTCATTTTTCCAAGTCTAACTTTGCTTATATCAAGTTCCCAGACCACTGAAGCATTGGATACATTTCTTAATCTTGGGCCGTGTGTGACATGGTGCAAAATGTCAGAATTCCAATTCCATTTGGGAATTTTTGTAATTCCAGAACTCTACTTCTCTGTATATCAGGCTTCATTTGCTCATTGTTTGGGTTTTGATGGCTCAGAGTGAGTATAAATAGCAATTGTTTCTGTTTGGGCCAGAAACTCTGAGGGTCCCTCCCAGACTGATTGTTTTGTGAAGGCAAACTAGGCCATCCTTTGCCTCAATTCTTACCTAGCCTTTAATTACCGAATGGGTGTTGTCTCAGACAAATTGAGACCTGGGAAAGAGCTTAGCTTAAAAAGGCCACGGTCTCTGACTCTGGAGGAGAGAGTGAGGCTGATGACTTTGCACAGCTCTGCCTCCCTTAAATCAAAATTCCTTGCAAGTCAAGACATCACCCCCCTGATGTCATTGGTCCTCTTTGAGAATGGAGGACGAACAACTGCAATACGCCTAACAGTTATTGAAGTGTTCTCTTTTAGAGCTACATTTCCTTGGAGTAATATCCATTCTTAAAAACCAGAGAATTAGAACAACAAAAGAAAGCAATGAAACACATGTGTTTGTCACAAAACCAGTTTAAGATGGGGATACCACTCAATCCAGTTTCACCTGAGTCAGTCTAGTATCAGTAGAAGTACATATGTATCACTATTATACTATTATATATCCAAGTAATTAGCACCCAACTCTAGGTAGATGCTGATTGATTGATTGATTGTCAAATATTTTGTCACATTCAACCCCAGACTTCCAGATGACTAAATACCATCAAAACCACCACCACCACCAATTTACCACTACTATAACACCATAACCACCACTATCATCACCATTACTACCACCAATATCACTATCACTATCAACACTACCACCACCACCACCACCACCACTTTCATCACCATTACCACCTTTACCACCACCACCTCCACCTTCACCACTACCATTACCACCACCACCATCATCACTATTACCACCTTCACCACCATCACCTCTTTTACCACTACCATTACTACCATCATCACCATCACTACCTTCACTACCATTACCACCACCATCATCACCATCACCACCTTCACCACCTTCACTACCATCACCACTACCACCATCACCATTGCTACCTTCACCACCATCACCACCTTTACTACCACTATCTCTACCTTCACCATTACCACCACTACCATTACCACCATGACTATCACCACCACTATTACTAGATGATATTCACATAGTACTTTCATGAGAACATAGGTTTAGAGCTAGAGGGTACCTCAGAGCCCATGTAGTACAATTCCCTTATTTTGGAAATTGCAGTCCAAAGAAATTAAGTGACTCATCCAAGTTCATAAATCTAATAAGTTTTAGAGGCAGGTTTTGAAAAAAGTGCCCTTATGCCACAGTCATTTGTTTTGTTTTTGTTTGTTTGTTTGTTTGTTTTTTTGCCACAGTCATTTTGACAAGTAAGACGTATTATCTGAGCCTCACAACAACCATGTTAAGTAGGTAGCTATGGTAAGTATTATTATTTCCATTTTACAGATGAAGAAACTAGGGCTCACATAGGTTAAATGATTTTCCTCTGATCACACAGGTAGGTGATAGAACTTAAACCCAGGCCTTTCTTGTTATCCACTTAACTACACTATGTTGACTCTCCAGACTTTGAGTTATAGGGTCATAAGTCAAGAAATGGAAGGGACTTTAGAAGTCATTTAGTCATCTCTCCTCATTTTACAGATGAAGAGACTGAGGCCCAGAGAAGTTAAATGACTTACCCAAGGTCACACAGTAAATAGCAGAGCCAAGATTTGAACATGGTTCTCTGACTCCACACTGAGTTGTTTCCATTGCAAAGTTCTCTCTCTAAGGAGCGGGAGAACCAAATTCAAATCCTCTGTTACTGACTGTCTATGTGAATATGAGAGTTGTTTCTCATATCTGAGCCTCAGTTTCTTCATCTGTAAAATAGAGATCACAATACCTATAATAACCTACCTTATAGGACTGGCATGGGAGAAGCCTATATAAATGTGAGTTGTTGCTAGTAATAGCTCACTCTTGTACACTACCTTAATGTTATTAATGAAAAGCTCTCACTACTTGTGCTACACTGGTCTTCCACGTCTTAGCCATCGTGAGTGTGTCTTGAGGAATAGAGCTCGGGGACAGCTGAGACAGCAAGTATTTTTCTCCCTTGTGTGACCCTGTCTGGCAGGATCATCTGGGCTGCTCCCTTGAGCTCTTCCAACTCTCTATGTCCTCCCTCTTGCTTGGACCACTTCCTTTGCCTGGCTGGTCACTACCCTAACGCCTTTGGGATCTCTGGTCCCAAAGAGACCCGGCTAGACAATGTGGCTGGCTCAGAGTAAACCTAGAAAAGCAGCTTTCAGTGTTCTGAATAGAACAGACTGCCAATATGCCAGGCACTGTGCTAAGGACTGAGGATACAAAGAAAGAGAAGGAACAGTCCCTGCTATTCTAGAGTCAGAGGACCTGAGTTTGGATTGGGGCTTTGTAACTTAATGCCAGGGCGTCACCGATTTTAAGGTAACCATGGACCTCAGAAGCCAACAAGTCCAATCTCTTCCATTCGTCAGATGACAGACAAGTTGGGATGGCTTGTCCAAGGTTACACCCTCTATGCCAAGGCATAGAGGGAATTTGAACCCAGGTCAGTTGAGTTTGCCCTAGTTATAAAATGAGCAAATTGGACTAGGTTACCTCTAAGTTCCTTTGCAGAAATAAGACTTAACAGAAACCGGGCGTTTACGACTGAGTTAAATGAGGTCGTGTTGGGCACTGCTATCTTCCCAGCAGACATAGGTCAACCATAGTAATAACGTGATTATTAATAACACCGGGGCACCTCTTTTCCAGCTCAAACACTACGAAGCTATGATCCTATTAATCAGACTGAAAGCAGCCCTGAGGCTCACGTCCCTCAGAATTACGGGTGAATTGATGAACAGAATCACTCCTTCACGTAGAGTATCATCTCTCTTTCTTGCTTCTCTCCAAGTCTCCCAGTTCCTGGAAACCCGACGAAATCTTATCATTCCCCAATCTCTTTTGGTCCCAAAGGTGCGAAGGAGGGGGGGGGGAGGGGAGTGGCGGTTGGGTGAGAAGGGAGGGGAGGGACAATCAGCGCCCAACCGAGGGGAAGGCGCTTTCGAAGTTACTGAACAGACCCGGCGCTGGGCCCCACGCAGTGCCGGGAAACCGTGCCTTGGTTTGCACGTCCCGCGGCTAAGGTTTCCCGCCAGCTGGCTGCCTGGCTCTGAGCTGTGGCTGGGGTCGATGCTGGGGCTACACTGGCCAGCAGGCAGGGAGTAACGGGCCGGAGCCGCAGGCGGATACCCTGGGAGGGGAGGAGCGGAGCGGAGCAGAGCAGAGCTGAGCGGAGCGCGCCGGGGCTGCAGCGCGCACAGCACCTGGACTTGGGCTGCGCTTCTGCGCTAGCCAGCCCGCCCCCTATCTTCATTCAGTCTATCTACGAATTCCGGGCCCCCAGGCAGGTGGCTGAAAGGGCTCCCGCAGGCTCGCTCTAGGTCGCGGCAAGCTGTCGGGGATTCCAGGAAGGGAGAGCTCGGCCACTCCAGCTCCTTTTTCTTCTCTTCCGTGGCGCTCTAGCCCGGCAGACCATGGTCACCCGGTGCGCTGCGCTGGGGCTGCTGCTCCTTGGGGCGGTCGGGTCCCTCCCGCAGGTAAGTCAGTGCTGATTCTCCCTGGGGGACGTGGGACAGACAGGATGGGATGAGTTGGGACTATATTACACTGGCCAGGCTTCCTTCCCCGGCCCCTTACTCTGGCTCCAGAGCGCTAGTGTGGACTGAGACAGCGTGGTGTGGTGGAAAGTGTGCTTAACAGGGAGTAGGGAGACTGGGGTTCGAATCTGGTTGCAGGAATTACGTGTGCGTGGATTTCGGGTATCTCAATTTTCTCCTACCCTGTGAGGCAACAGTAGCAGAGAGTGAGGGATCCTGGATAGAGAAGAAGCCTCGGTACTGGAGAGCACGAGACAGCTGAGCTGCCCGCCACTGACCCTGGGTCCTCAAGGTTACTGGTCTGTGCTCACGGGCCGCGGCACTCTGGACTTCAGTTCCGCAAGTCTTACCCTCAGTTTCCTGATCCATAAGATGAGGTTAATAATCCCTGCCTGCCTTCGTCACGGGACCGATAAGAGTGGGGTTAGTGAAAAGAGACTCGGGACCCGAGTTCGAATTCCGAGTTTGCTACTTAGTAACTCTAACTTTGGCCGGATCACTTAATCTCTCTGTGAGCCTGACCAGTTCTGAATTCTGGCTCGACACCTTAGCATAGTTGAGTGTAAAAAGTCCTAAACTTGCATTCACAGGACCAGAATTTGAATCCTGCCTTTTCCATTTATGACTGGTGTGACCTTAGACAAGTCCCTGAATCTTTCTCTAGGTCTCAGTTTCCCGATCTGAAAAATAGAGAAGGGTTGGTTGAACCAAATAATCTTCCAGCTCTAAATTTATGATTTTTTGGCTTTGGTCAAGTCTCATTTTACCCTTTTCTATAAAATGGGGATAATATTACTTGGCACTGCCTCCCTGACAAGACTGTTGTAAAGACATGTGACATAGCTTAAGGCTGGCTGGTGCGCATAGCTTCCGTGGTTGAAAGCATGGAATTTAGAGACAGAGGACCAGAGTTCAAATCTCTGCCCTGTGTCTTCGTATGTGACCATGGACAAGTTACTTAGTAACTCTGGGCTTCAGTTTCCTTTCTGGAATTTCAGTAATAGCCACAAGGTTCTGCCTGCTAATGTACAAAGTACATTATGTACGAATGTACAAAGTACCCACAATCTTCCAAACCTGAGGCTTGAACCCACCCCCCACCCCTAATCACATTGTACCGGCAGAGAGCCTTGAGAAAGACATGTGGCCAAGAGATTTTCCTGTTCCTGTAACAGATGCACAAGGTCCTAGTGTCACTTGTGTATGTGTGAACACATGTATGAGTGTGAGATGGCAGCTCAGAGCCCTGGTTTCATGGATTAGGACCAAAGGACCTTACAGGTCATCTCATTTTACAGATGAGGAAACTGAGACCTAGACAGATTAAGTGACTTGTCCCAGGTTGCATAGGCAGCATTTGAACCCAAGTCCCAGCTTTGTCTAATGTAACAGCTGCCTTCCAGGGTTGGACTAGAGGACTCCCAAGGTCATTCTTTCCAACTAGATTGGTTCTCAGGATTGTTTTCAGAGAAGCATTTGATTTCAGCCAGGAGCCCACCTGAGGGCATTTTATCCCTGCCTCCGAGTTTTTCTCCGATTTCTTCATTCCTTAATTCCATAGGACAACCCTAGATCTCAACCTGGGAGCCCCAGAGAGTTGAGGGGTGGCTCTTGAGTGGAGGAGGAGTAGGTGAGGTGGGAGGTGAAGGCAAAAAAGGGCCAGTTTTAAAGAGAAACTCTAAGGATGACCAAGTATGAACCCAGCAGACAAAACCACGTGGTCCTGAGCTCTTCTAGAGCTGAGAACCTCTGCCTTCCAGTAAGTAATTGCTTAGCCTATCCCATTACCCTTTAGGGCTTTTAATGGCCCTCCTACCCCCACTCCTCTACCACCTAGTTCTGAGATAGCATATGAGAAAGGCATACAGAGTTGGGGTTGGCTGAACTGTTGCCTCATGTTATGTATGACCTGCATAGGGTCTGGCTTCCCACAGCTCTGTGATTCCCCACAGCCAAGAACTGCAGATTGATTTTAGCAAAATTTTGCTTTCTCTGTATAAGGCATGAGGAAACACAAAATGATGGGGAAGAGATAATGATCCCTGCTCTCAAGTAATTTACAGTCTCCTAGGGGTAGTTCAAAAGTGATAGTGGCCGTAAAAAGCTATTTTACTCTTGGGTTACATTAAGAAAGACCTAGCTTCCAGGAATTTGGACCACATGGATTCAACCCAGATCAGACAGTGTCTTGAGGGTTATGTTCAGTTCTGGCACAGTGTAGGAGGGACCTGGATAAACTGGAGAGTGTCCAGAGAAGCCAGATGGCAAGGGGCCTCCAGTCTGTGCCTTATGAGGATTGCTTAAAGGAACTGGGGAGAGTCAGACTGGAGAAGAGAGAACTCCAGAAGGATGTGGCAGTTGTTTTCACGTGCTTGCAAGAACAGTTGGACTTACTGGCTTTTACCCTAGAGGGCAGATCCAGTGGGGTCATAGAGGAAGTTACAGAGAGACAGATGTAGGCTCCGCATCAGGAAGAGCTTAATAGGGTCAGCTAGATAGCGCAGTAGATAGAACTTCAGCCTTGGAGTCAGGAGGACTTGAGTTCAAATTTGAACTCAGACACTTGACACTTACTATCTGTGTGACTCTGGGCAAGTCACTTAACCCCGATTGCCTCACCAAGGGGAAAAAAAGCAACAAAACAAAAAAAAAGGAAGAACTTAATGAGCGAAGAGAGGTGAGCAAAGGTGGCATGGGCTGTTTTGAGAGGAGATGAAGTCCTCCACTCGTCCACTTTGGTATTCAAGCCAAAGCGAGATGACCTATATTGGAATGTGCTCAAGAGGGGATTCCTTTTTGGGTATGTGTTGTACTCAATGGCCTCTGAAGGGCCTTCATCTCTGAAATTCTCTGATCTTGGGATTTTATCTGAGATACCCAGATCAATACACTAAGCTTCCAAATTTAGAATTAGAAGGGGTTCCAAAGATCATGGGGCTCAACCCCTTTATTCTTCAGACAAGGAAACCGAGGTCCAGGGAGGTAAGTGACTTATCCAACATCACACAGGTAATAGGTGGAAGAAGGAGGATTTGATTCCAGTACCACTCTACTGTGCTGTCTTCTTTAGAATGTGACCCAGACAATGTGCTGTCTTCTCCAGAAGGACATCCAGGTCAAAGGAGAGCCCCAGACAAAGAGTAGGAGGGAAAGGAAGAGCGTCTACTCTCAATCAGCTTGTTATAACAGAAACGGGACACGTGGGCAGCGTGGTAATGGTAGAAAGAACACTGGCTTTAGAATTTGTAGACCTGGGTTCAAATCCTGGCTCCACTATTTACTACCTGAATGACCTGGGGCAAGTCACTTATCCACTGCATGTCAGTATCTCCATCTGTAAAATGAAGGCATTGGAAGAGATGGTCTCTTAAATCCCTTACAGTTTTAGATTGACAATCCTACTATGACTAGGCAGTCATTGTGGTGGTGAGGGGTTAGGTTTCAGTATGCCAAGAGTGACTTTGGGGAAAAAAAGTCAGGTGACTCAGAGATGAATGTCCCCATAATAGTAGGCATTCATATTATCCCTTAAAGCTTGGAAAGTACATTCTATACATTATCACATTTGAGCTCTTACAACTCATCCTGTGAGATAAATGTTATTCCCATCTTACAGATAGAGAAACTGAGTCTCAGACAGGTTAAATGACTTGCCCACAGGTCACATAGCTAGTTAGTACCAGAGGCTAGATTTGAATCCAGGTCTTCCTGGATTCTCAAGTAACAACTTACAATCTTCTAGGGGTGGGTAAAAAGTGATAGTGCAAAAAAAAAAAAGCTATTATAATCTTGGGTTACATTGAGAAAGGTCTAGCTTCCAGGAATTGGGGCCACATGGGCTCAACCCAAGTCAGACAGTATCTTGAGTGTTATGTTCAGTTCTGGCACAGTGTAGGAGGGACCTGGATAAACTGGAGAGTGTCCAGAGAAAGGCAAGCCAGATGGCAAAGGGCCCCAAGTCCATGCCCAATGAGGATCGGTTAAAGGAACTGGGGAGAATCAGACTGGAGAAGAGAGAACTCCAGAAGTTCATGGCGGTTATTTTCATGGGCTTGTAAGATTGTCATGACTCACTTGGTTTGACCAGATCCCAGATCTGGTTCTCTAGACCAGAGGGGTCAAACTCAGAGAGAAATGCAGGCCACTAATCTGTATCTGAGGATCCCTGTGGGTTACATGTAGGCTTAGAAAGTCACATATGAACAATATCTATGTTTTATTGCATCTTTTTTTATTTTGTTAAATATTTCCCAATTACATTTGAATCTGGTTGGCCCACACTTAGGGGTATTGTGTTTCTCACCTCTAGGCTAGATCACGCTGCCTCTTAAGGGGTCTGATGGATGGAAATTGTAGAGAGGTGGATCAATTAACTAATCAATCAGTCAATCAAGAATTGATCACGTGCCTCCTAGGTCCTGGGCTCTGTCCTCAGGACTGGCAATGTAAGAGAAACTTTCGCAGATGAGAATTGTGTAAGGATGGGAAGGGGCTGCCTTGCAGGCAGCGTCTTTGAGCTTTGGTGGAAGGGGATGGTGTATCAGGGATTCCTTCTCTGGTACAGGTTTGATGAAACACTCTCCAAGGTTTCTTCCAGCTCTGAGCATCCATGGTCTGGCAAACACACTCTGCCCTAATCCCTGACCAGGTCTGAGTGTACCACCTGAGCCTGGCAGGCAGGGCTGGCTTCCTGCTGGCAGGAGCTAGAGAGGGAGGGAAGAGGAGAGGGAAAGAGGTAGGAGCCTGTTGGGTTGGGGACCCCCATCGCTCAGTGTAAAAGCTGCCTCAAGTGGAAAGCTTTAGTCTACTTTACCTTTCATATACTTTACCCTTATTACTTTAATACTATTTATTTTTATAGTAATATCTTTTATAGACTTCTTGGTTATAGACACACACATTCTCATCTCTTCTTTCCTTTTCACCACGTTGTCTTTGAA